CCTGGTCCACTCAGCTGGTCATCAATGAAGTTCACAAAGTTCATCATCTAAGGAGATGGCTGACCCGACTGTAGCTCAGCAGGCATTTACACTGAAGTGATCCTGCTGATATAATAAACTATCAGTGACCAGGGAAAGGACCAGGCCAGTTCTATGCTTACAGAATGATGCACAAGAGGAAAACCATAACTTGTTCTCTCGACAAAACGCTCATSATTCGTGATATCATCATAACGTCAGTTTTCTCATGGAGAAAGCCATAGAAAAAAAATGAACTGTGGAAAACATGGAAGCATTGATTTTCACTTGGAGTTTTATTTGGATTTCATCAAACTTTAGGTGACTGGAGCGCAAGTYTGTGTACTTCTGGTTTGTTTGCTTTTCTCCCTATGAAATACTTCTGCAATAAACATATTTCCTATAAAATATGATAAAAATAGAAAAATAAGTGTGCTTGAAAAGCTACTGCAATAAGAAGACACAGAATGCATCATTTTACACCAAACGTCTGTTTTCCTCTGCAATAAAAAAAAACTGTGAATTTACATTATTGTGCTAAACAGTCTTTGCAATAAGTGTGAAAGGAGGTTAATTTACAACAAACAGATAGGTGTTGCTGCACATTGAGACAAAAAGGATTGTCAGCACAAGTTGCTACTAAAAAAAAGAAAAAAAATGTTTAAAATTTCAAACAGTGATTAGATATTTGCTGCTAAACTACAAGCTGCACAATCATGTTGCTTACTGCTAAAACACTGAAACACACTGGGTCAAATCATTCTTAATAAAATGCCATGAAAACATAAAAATACATGAAAATACATTTAAATATCACAAAAAATAATTTTTGACATAATATGTGATTGTTTCCTACTTTTAGAACTGTGCAAACATTTACCAGCAGGAACCAGCGGTGCCATCAGGGCCTTGTTCGCAGTTGGATGAAAGAAAAGGACTCATCAGCCAGGGCGCTTCAGCAAAGTCTCTGCTTCTCTAAAAGATGCTGTAGCAAAAGTTGCAAAGTAGCAGTCGCAGTTAAGATTACTGCCTGCTAATGTTAACAGTTAGGTAAAAAAACAGATGTGGTTTCCTTT